TTCTAAATCTAGCTGTACATTACATCATTTAATTTGAAAACCATCTGGTGTCAGCGGGTCATCAAATCAGTCCCTCTTAGCAAAAAACGTTTGACACGGCAAAATGGAGTGCATATGCTCAATAAAATTTTTAACACCTTTTTACTGAACTATTAAACGCGGTTAAATAATGAACACCCCGATCATAATCACATTTTAAGTAACACTGGTCTTCCAGCACATCATTTACCCAAAGAATTAGTGGTGAAACCGACTTGTTTAAATCCCCATAATATAAATCATACTATTCTTTCTTGGGGGCCATTAATAGAAAGCACTTGCTGTGTTTGCATTATAATTGTATGTGGAAATGCATTAGGGTGGTAAATGTATTTGTCTAAGAATGCGTGACAGGATGAAGCATGTCTGTCTCGCACAATCTCTTGTTCTGTTGAAAGGATTTGCATGCAATCAGAATAGTTCATGTCCCGTTCCGTCACAACATATTACGGTGGGTGCCATGTTGGAAACAGCCGATGAAGTTTCTGTCGAGCCCCTCTTCGCCCCATTAGTTGACCTACTGTTGTGAGGAAATGATTTTTGGAGGTGAATCGTCTCTGTTGGAATTTGCTCTCGGAAAGATATACTGCTGCGCAACGCAAACACAGATTGTTTGGTAATGCAGTCATCTTTCCAGCGTCCTTTTTGAGTAAACATAGTTTGCGAGATTAAATGCTGAGCACACGGTAAGTGTGTGATGCACTGTGGTGCGTTTGCATTTCCTGCCTTTTATCAGGGGCAGGTCCTGCCTTGTGGACACTTGCTCACATAGATCTCAAGTTATTACAACATTTGTGGAGTGTTCAATATGTGACGTAGGCATGGGTGCAGCTCTGAATGATTCCCTGTTCCTGTCCTCTCCATTGATCTGTGGAGAAGATGTAGGACTGCTGTTGCCACTCCACATAGACTCAGATATCTCACATTGTTTAGTCCTAAATCAACAGGATGACAGGTATGCGTCTATTTAAAGGTGACTACACAATTTTCTTGGACTTGCATGGGGTAATCATTGATAGAGGGATTATGAAGTTTAAAACAGGTCTCTCTTGTAAATGAGTCCTCGAGGCTAACCTGTAGAAATAAAGGTTGAATGAATGAGTATACGTAAGCAAGACTATTTATAGGAGGCAATCTTTTGCTTTTGGGTGTGTCGGTATGGGCAACACATTTTCAGCTATTAACAACAACAGGAAGTCAAACATCTCATTTATATGTTTTGATACTGGCAAGTTTACCATCTGGGATACATTAAGATTATAATCTCCTTAAAAAGAATTTCTGTTTTCATTGCTTGTACAAGTTATATTATTGTATAGTGTACCACCTTAATTCTTTACTATTTCAGGACTTCATTTAGCACTTTTTTAAAACTATGAACTGCTCAGCAGAAAATGTGCGACTTGGTTCAGTTTTAAAGGTGCATTGAGCTGATGAGTTGCTTTTGTATTTTTGTTTCCATATAAAATGGTTGCAATGGGTAAATGTTCCTTTTGTTCAACTCTAATCAATACTATGAGAACAAAATAGTTAGTTTTATTAGAAAAGTCAATACACTGTTTTGGTAAGAAATAATTACACATGCCGAGTCTCTTGGGATGTTGTTGTAGCTACTAACAGATTAGTAATAGGGACATTATTTCTCAGCACAATACCTTTGAAGGCACATAATGCTGCTCAGTCACTTAATAATTTAAGAACCAGTAATGTGTCAGAGGTTTTTAAAGCATGTGGTTAGCTATGAAAAAATGTGTGACTGTTCTGTTTGTTTTACAGATCCTTACAGTTTAGGTGCTGGATACTTTGTGGCTTAGGTAGTTGAAAAGTTTGATACAATGAGATAACTCAGTGTGTCTGCCAGAAGGATTTGAACGCAGGGATCGCCCAATCTGTCTGCTGAAGAAACTGAAATCACTAAAATTTACAACAAAATGAGTTAAATTTCTGCAATTCTGTGTCACTCGTCTTTTAAGACACATTTTCCTTTGAAACAAATTTTATGACAAACGTGTTTGACTTAAAGGACGATGTCTGAAACTGTCAGTTTGTTTAATCCACATATAAATATAAGTGAGATGCTTTCGGTGAGGATGGTGCCCTCTTGTGGTGTGTTTCTGTCCTGCTCTCCTTGTATCACTCCGCTTTCCTACGTCTGCACTTGTCTCGTTATTATTTGTGTATTTAAGATTGCGTCCCCTGTTCCTTGTCAGCTGGTCATTGTCTGGTGTTCCCTCCAACGTCGAGCTTTGTTCCTTGTGTTTCCTACGTGACTCATTCGAGTAAGTTCTATTTCATTGTGGGCTTGCCCTTTAAGTGGGCGTGGCTTAAAGGGCTGCGCCCACAATTCATAGAATCTGTGGTTACAATTCGTAACCTTCGTTTTTGCTGCCTCGACGGCTTCTTTTGTTTATTTAAATATTATTTATTTTACTCCTTGGAGTTCTTCGTGGTCCGCCTGCACCTTTGGGTTCGACATCCAAAACCACCATTTACGACACTTTCAATAAATGAGATTTTTTTTAAGTATTTCATTTTTATTTTTAAATTTAAGGTTTTCCAGGAAACATAACATGTGATTAAAATTATTTTTCATCAGCCATGCACAATATGTTCTTACCCAGTTTTCCAGTTTTAATTTTGGAGTTTAAGATTGAACAACAATTTCTAACAATCTGACCGCAGACATTAAAATTATCTAACTTTAAATGAGCAGTTTGTCTAATGTATTAAAAATCCCAAGCATAAATCTTGTATTTTTTTAGACCCATATTTTCTTAAAGCAGGATACATTTTGGCAAAAAACTACAGCTTTCAATCTTTTTTGGTAATTCTCTCTGTACTCACCAAAGTATTAACAACAGTTTTCCCATTTACTTTGCTAACCTTTGTTTTTCGTTAGAATTTTAGATGAAATGAGACATGTTAGGTGACTTTCGTCTATACATTTTGTCACATTTGTTATTGGTCTTCATGTATAAATGTGAGTAGGACCATTCAAATGTAATCAGTCTTGTTCCAAAGCATGTACTATATTGCTTTTGCTGTAGATCTTGGATCACAGTAAAGCTCTAATACAAAGAGCTTTGTTTGGCAAATATCATGAACAGCAAAGAAGCCCAAACACCACCAACTGTAAGACACAGTGGTGGAATGCTGATGTGGTGGTCCAGTTGTGCAGTGACATGATCTGGCATCATCAAGTTGACCACAAACCCTGTTTACCAACTAATTTTAGAGTTAAATGAGGGTACTTGTCAGAAAACCAGACTGTGACCAAAATCGGGCCATACAAGTCAGTGACCTCAAGCAAAACAACACATCTGCAAATGAAGGTCTGAAAACAAAGATAAATCTATCAGTGTTGGAATGGCCCTTTCAAAGTTCAGACTTGACTAAAATTCTGTGCTTAAACTAAAAAGAGCTTTGCAGACAAATCCTCACTAAACTGTATGAACTGAAGACGATTGCTTCATTCAATGATAAAAGTGTTACTTTGAGCTTTTTTATTGCCTCTGAAAATCATGTATTTTGGCTTAGCTTTGTGTATTTTTTGTCTTGTGGTTCTCCTTAGTTTGTATTTATCAATTTGATGACTTGATAGAAGCTAAATATATATTTTCACAAGACATTTTTATTTAATTCCCCGAGTTGTACAGCATTAGAACTGAAAGAGGTGGTTGTACATTCTTTTGAAAAGTGACTACTTTCTCCCAAAAGAGAGCAGTTTTTTTTTTAGTATCATAAATCTGTCAAGCATTTAAATATCCAATGTTGGCTTAAGTGTGTTCTGGGAGAAATGTTCATACTGACCAGCTGCACATAAAAAAAGTCTTTTTATGTTTTACGTCAACACAGTTTCTACTTCGCTCTTCTACTGTAATTTCTCCCTGGAACATTCTTTTTCCTTGCCTGTTTTTAAATGACGCCTGTATTAGATTTTACATCTGCTGCAGCAGTGCACTGTGGAGAAGGTGGCATGAGACACAGTCGACGTTGGCGAGCGTCTGAGCCCTACCTGATCCACGTCCCCTGATAAAATTAATGGCGTACGGCAGAATGCCTCAACTGTTTTCACTGCTGCAACCATTAAATAGATTTTAGCAAGACTTTACACGTTACAGAAACATTTTCATACTGTGATCCATCCCCCCCTCTCTTTCTTGCAGCATGTTTAGTTGGGGAGGCAGTTTCGCACAAAAAAAGGGGTTGCATCAAAAAAAAAAAAACCTCAGAGGAGTGGCCAAGTTGAGGCCAGCAGATCAGATCATGTGATCCAGTAAATAGGGTGGGGTCTGGCTCAGACTTTTCTTGGGAAACTTGAGAGACTGAGGATTATTTTCCTATAAAAGGGATATTTAGCTTTGACTACAAATAGCATCTAGTAAAAGAGATGCTTTTATAGCATTCTGAGTAGACAGACAGATACGACACTGAATAAAAGACTTCTTGTAAATCATTTGCCGTTGCCTTGCTCTCTTTCCATATGTTTGTCTTTCTGTTTTCTCAAGAGAAGCAGCCATAATAGTGATGTTTAAACACTGTTTTGACCAGAGTGAGGTCATATTTACTCTGTGGAAACTACACAGTGTGATCCTCAGACATTAGTCTAATGACAGCCTTGAAGCCTGCAACGACTGGGCTTGCTTCCACAGCTTCTTACCGACTTCTTGTTTTGCTGTCTGAACTATTGAAGGACTTCACATACCAAAGTTTTAACCTTCAGACTTCAACAGAGCTCTGGCCCCTTTGTGTTAGGGGTGAAATGAAACGAGAAATGTTGAAGAACAAGCTTATAGGTGTGTGGGAATTCAGCAGTCACGTCAGTGTCTTCAGTCCTGTTTGAAAGTTGCTCTGAAGTCGAAGCCAAGCAAGACAACTACAGTTCTGGATTATATTGATTTATTGAAGTCCAGCTGTTTTTGTCTTCAACCTTTTTTTTTATTATTATTATCCTGGATTAAATAGAATGGGGAATATCAGAGGTAGGTTCAGTCACATTTCTTTTTTACCTTCAATACGAACAATTCTTACGTGTGCAATTTTTCTTTAACTTTCAACGTTTTGTTTTCTGTGGAAATATTTAAGACAAGTTTTCAAGCATTTTAATATCCAGAATATATTTGCAAATTTTGTGTCAAAATGCAAGGGTTTTATCCCCAGCGGATGGTGTTACTGTTCACCAGATACGTTCACCATATGTTATGTGTGTTGGGACCATTTCCTCTAATATGTAGATGACTGTAGTTTTGTTTGTACCGATCCAACAGTTTATGTGTTTTCCTTCAAACTAAAAACGTGTCTATACTGATGGTTTTTTTTAGCCTCCATTGGCTTTAGAATCCACACTCACTCTCACCCATGTCTTTGTTTCAATTTGCTTTAATTTGTGGAAATGAACTATTATGTCTTTGACGCAGAGGCAGTGGAGAAATTAAGGACTTGGGCCGGTGTGTTGCAAAACTATGAATGAACACAAAAATAATCTGGGAGATTGACTGGGGAGTGGGGGCTCCTGGAATAGCCTGCATGAACTAACATTCTCAGTAGTAGCAGAACATTACATGTTACTCTAGACCGGGTCTGGCACCTGACTGTACAACCTAGACACCTTGAATAGTTCAAGTTGTGTTTATTTGTCATATGCAGGTTAACAAAAGGTTAACAGTACAATGAAATGCTTACGATGAGAAGAACTGATTTTGACTTGCTAAAATTAAAAAAACAACAAACAAACGAACAAGAAATACTAAAACGTGCAATAAGGGTGCAAAAATAAAGTACCAAAAAGTGAAAAAAGTAATTATGATATTTACAACATCCTAAAGAAAGATAGTAAACAACAATAACATGGTAGATGTAACAGTGCAAGCAGGATGAATTTGAATGAATAAGTATTTCAAGGTAGTAATATAAGCTAAAATGCACATGATATACTAGTGTATATATATATTGCACACAACTACAGGTTGTATGGGTAAGGGTAAGGGTTAGAGTGATAGCTCTGTGTTTTGTAGACAGGCTTCCAGAATTCCTCAGAATCACATTTTTTCCAAATGTTTGTGAACCTTTTGCACATACATTATTGATAACCGCAGCAAGGCTCATTCAAATCTTTAGTTGTTGTTGTTGTTGTTATTAGATCTCTTGCAATCATCATATTTTGCAGCTTCTGGTTGTGAAGAAGCCCTACGCTGTTCTGTATGGCTTAACATGCCGCTTCAAAACAGAACTGACCTTAAGCAGAGTTTCCTTTACATTCGTTCTATCAACAAACATCACGAGACTATAACTATTCATTCTATTTCCTCATTTGCTTCATTGCAGCGCTCAGCTGGAGGCTACAGAGCCAAGACAGGAACACCTTGTGTCGCCAGCAGACTCATTTAGGCTCCTGGGGACTGCAGTTGAATTTTCCATTCTGTTTTTTCTATCATCAGCACAAACACTGGCTGTCATTCAGCTTGTGCTATATATTTTTAATTATACAATATTTTACGCACAAATGTTTATTTAAGTTGTGTGCTGTCTCAAGTCCATATGGCATTAATTTGCACTGTCACAGACATAAAACATTAACCGTCCTTCTGATTTGGGCCATATGGCTTGTGTGGGTGTGTGTTTGTATGCTGCTGGTGCAGTGTGTGGCCACCCAGAGTCACTTCTCAGCATCATTTGCCAATGTGTAACAGAGAGGGGTTGATTCAAGTCAAATTAACGAGCGATGTGTCTATGCATAATCATGCACATATTCTAGTATGTGTACAAGATTAACTGAGTCACTGTGGAGACCTAATCATTGCTCATTTGTGTGTATCTACACAGGAGGAATGCCAGCTCCTGAGCAGAGCCCAGTGACGGAGGAGGGGCTTCTGCTGACCATTTGCGACAGTTCAACTGGTCGCAGAATGGAGACTGACAACACCGCCAATAACATCCTGGCCTCCGTCAAAGAACAGGTAGCGCTTCTTCAGTAGACATTGAGTTTACAACCTCTTTGACTTATATCTCTATATGACACTGAAACATATATTTTTTATCATCTAAGCAGGATGGTATTTATTGAGTGCTAAGTTTCCTGGTGATTCACGTCGTATGCGGCTCTGGGCTGTTGCGTTGCTACTAATTTATGTGTCATATTTATATTGGAGCAATATAACTTCCATCTAGTACACACCCAGTAGTTACAAGGTGTGTTTTTATCCGCATGTCAGATGAAAAGATTAGTTTGGTTTGTTATAGAGTACTGAAAAATTACTTTGTCCTGAATATTTAGAATGAACTAAACTTGACTTGAAGATATTGGTTGTTTACCGCCTGCAGTCATGGCCTGGCTTGTATCACCGAACAACCAGGAAGTTCACCTCTTGGAGGGTTTCAAAGCTTAAGAAAGGGCATGCCCTCTCTGACTCATCCATTTCTGCCAGGCTCTGTGATTTATGCACTCCCTCTTTAAGCACTCACAAACACAAATGCACTCATTGCAGCACTCCTGTATTCTATAGTTTTGGAAATTCTACATAACTTAAAGTGGGGATTTTTTGTTTTGAGGATTTTATTAATTTATTGGTTGTACTGTATCTTTTGTATTTTAAAGCCTCTGTAACAATTTTTGAAGCAAGCGTTCTGCTGTTTATCATCAATTAGCAAACACAAGTCCTGTTTAGATTTACTGCAGGAAAGGGGGTGTTAACATGAGAAAGGAAGGCGGGAGGAGGGAGCACCTGTTGATGTCACGTCCTTCCTTAGAGTATCCCTCAGTTGCTCGTCCGGTTCGAGCAGATATTCATGCTGGCAAGCAGGAAAAGCGAGTAGCCTGCCTGAGCTGTTGCTTTTACAATGACTAAGCGGTTGGAGACATGTGTTGAAGAATTAGAACCGTAAAATGATGTTTCTTTTCTGTTTAGAAAGTACAGAATGGGACAGGCAACTAAAAGGGTGAGTAAGAATTAAACTTTGTAAGGGGTCAGGCACGAGTCAGATGTGAGTGTTTTGTTTCCTGCTCTGGCTTACATGGTTTTCCTGTAATTGTTAAGAACCAGACCTTCCAGGGATTGCGTTTTCATTGTAAACATGCAAGGCTGCTGTGCTGTGGATATGCACAGGGTTAGTGTTAGGGATTTGTATTGGGTGTTTGGTAAGTTCCTATTTCATTGCTGTGTAAGTCTGATTTTTTTTTGTTTTCTACTTGTTCACTGGTACAATTCCTTCACTTAGTTTTCCTGCACCTTGCCGTCTTTAGTTTTTTCTCTTTTTCTCTTCAAACTTCTCTTCCAATCACTGTTGTAGTAACAGTAGCACAGAGTTTTCCAAGAAACCCAAACAAGGACAGATTCATCAAAATGTTATGGCTTCATTCCCTCAATGAGTTCCTGTACTTGGACAATTGTCATGTCTTCCCTTTGGACTACCAGTGCCAGGTTCCTTTTTTCTCTGTGAATTTTGGGAACCTGTTATGTTGTGCTATAGCTTAGGGTTGTTTGTGTTATGGTTTCTTTCCTCACCTTTTTTAGATTACAGTATGTGCCATGTACTACATGTTCTCCTATGAAGATCCTGGCATGTAATAAATAAATAATTTGTGCATGTTCTTTGTAAAAACCTTTATAAACAATGTATTTTTTTTTGCTTGTTTACAGTATGATTTTCCTAATCGTGTTCTCCAAATATTCAGCCTTTTTTTTTATAATAATATGTGCAGTAACATGGGTATTTTATGGTCTTCACATTTTGTTGTTGGTGAACACTATTCTGACACTGTTTAGAGATTATAAATACAACTTTTTACATATTCCCCAACTTTTGCCTACCTGTACTTCTGAGAGACGTTGCTTCTTTAAGGTGCTCTTTTTGTACTCATGTCAAAAATATGTCAAAATATGTCATTGATGTTTTTACCATTTAACCTCATTCATTTCAACATATTCCTCAAAAAAAAAAATCAGTATTACTAATCAGTTAAGTATTTTATAGTTTTTTTTCGTGTTGCTACCATCAATTTCTGGATTAGAATATATATATTAAATAGTGAAGTTTCTCACTTCAAAACATTTGTTTTTGTCGTATGATTTATATAATATTTTATTGCTTACATTTCATTCTGCTTTGCATTCACATTTTTACAGCACTTCTACTTGTAGTTTGTAATAGTGGTACATTCAGATTTACCACTAGTTTTGTTGTTTCTTGAGGTTTCTACACTTTGTCTTACAGAGAGTCAGAGAATGCAGGTGCACATTCTGAGTCTCACTCATACTAAAGCATGATTAAGGAAACGTTTGTCCTAGTATTTTTTTTTTTACTTGTTTAGTTATCAACGCTTAGGGAGGTTTAATCATTACATTTGTTTGCAATGGGGCTGCAGAATATAGTTCATGCAGCTGGTCCCTTTGGCTTTTTGTTTAGCATGTCCTTAACATTCATCATTCAGGCATCAGTGAGTAAGAGGTCATGCCTTTAAAGTGCATTGCATTGATGATTCTGGCTTATTCACTATTTATTTATTTTAGTTTTAAATGCTTTTTCTAGGAGCAAAAATAGCTGCAAGATTGTAAAGGCATGTCATTGTGTCAGCTCAGATATTGTCCAGGGGAAGCTCAACTTAATGTACACACGTGTCCATAGTTACCCCCTCGGCTCTCCTATTTTTATCCAGGCTAGTAAATCATCCATAGGCTGCAAAAATAGAGTATGGGTGAAATTATAGCTGTAATGAAGCTTGTGAAATCTTGTGAAAATGTTCACATTATTGAACTGTTAACTTTCAATATACGATCGTATGCATGCAAAGCAGTTTTATATAACAAGCTGCACTTTTGTGTCATTTCTTCATCTTTTGTAATCCATTATTTGTAGCAGTAGCTTAATTTAGGAATAAAGAAGGGGGATAATTCAAATGTTATGGTTAGTTAGAGGGTTTTTATGTTAAATTAAACAAGTATGATGCCAGTTAGTCAAGGACAAGCTTTTGAGCCAAGTTTGAAAGATTATTTCTTGTTATAAGGGTTTGTCTTTCTAAAATAGGAAATGCTTTGTTTTTGTGTGTTCCCATTTGCCCCAAGACTTTAACACTGTTGCTAGTTGTTTCGGTGCATACTGACATGCACTACTCAGCCTGTTGCACAGGCCCCGCTCGAGTGTTTCAGCACACTGCCTCCTGAACCCCCCAAAACCCCAGAAAACCCACAGTTGAATTTTCCACATTATCTGAGTCAGTAGCACTTAAAAATCTGTTTGCCTCCTGCCCCTCTTTCTGGCAAACTACTGTTAGACTTTGTGACCTTGATTTTATCTGAATTAGGGATGAACATACACAAGAACTGACCTTGCTTTGAGTGCAGCATCTTGGGTACCTTGTTGGTGCTTTAATGAGATGGTTGGAATAGTACTCGTTGGAAATATTCCTCCAGACCTCTGTTTTGTTTTAATTGTGCCAGGCTCAACTTTGTCTAAGTGACCCACCTAAAGAAGTTAATAGTTTGGGTCAAGGTAAAGCTTGAGGCAGTGTTGTTGCTACTTTGCATTTTCATGCCATAGGAGCCTCATACTGCTCGAGATTTCTCCGTAGGCGACAGTGTCTGTTCCACTTCCATAGGCAAAATGGGAACTCTAATTACAATCGACCAGTGATTTTCTCCAGTCCTCAGGGGTTTATTTGCCTTTCTCTGCTTGGTACTGCCTCTGTGACACAGGCAAGGAGAAATCTAAAGGCATAAGCATTCTGGCCTCGATTATAGTCATAAAAATGGAAGCCTGGCTCTGAACAATTACCCATTGGGGGAGCAGAGCATAAGAGAGAGGGAGGGAGACATATTCAGAGATGAGGGATGCAGGTGAAGGAGAGTGCTCAGATACTGAGGAAAGACAAAATGCTGAGATATAGATGGTGAGTGAAAGAAAAAAGAAAAGACAAAGTGAGATTGACCATGATTGAGAGAGGAAAAGACACTGTCACCTGTGAATAGTTTTCTAAAGCGCTGTGACAGAAGCCTGTCGATGCAGTGAAACCCAGAAAAAGAGGGAAAAGAGGAAGAGAAGATGATCACTTCTCAATGTGACATGATGTCAGGAAAGTGGTGTGCCTAGCCTGACAAAGCACTGTCGTTTTGAACACAGCCGTGGGAAATCTCCTCCCAACTAGCCTGCTAATACTCATCACCATCACTGTCATCATCATCATCATCATAACTATAATCATTGCCACATGCTCACAAGACGTGGTCTTTGGGGAGCAGGGGGTGTGCACCTCATACAGATGACTGGAGTGTAGTTAAGGCTGCAGGGGTTTCTTGGAGTTTAAAGAAGGGGTTCAGGTTCAGGAAGTTGACCGGGTGAATCACCAACAAGGTTTTATGTCTTTGTTTCAACCTTTACTCAAATGTCTCTCAGACAAATTTTTCTAAGTGACTGAATCTGAGGTAATCACACAAGTCACTGCAGTCTTTGTTCTCAAATGTCTACCTCTGGATTGACAGTCTCTGGATTGTTCTCTCCCCTCCCCTCATTATAGCCCAGAGCGATGTTCTTTTTGTCTGACACAACACTATTGATCTTTCTGTGGAACTGTATGTTCACCGGTCTTCATGAGTTGCTCTGACTCTGTGATTTCACTGCTGCACCATTTAGGCTTTTTGCTCCAGTTGAGAAGATACAGATTGCCTTTGTGAGTTACTCAGCTGTACGATGGCTTATCAGCCTCACTACAGGAACTTAAAAAAAGTTCAACATTGTGTAGCAGCAAAAAAACACATTTGTGACTAAGTTCAATCAAAAGATCTGATGGACAAAGGAAAAAAGCATACTGGAGTTTGTTATGTAGTTAAATACTTTGTGAACAGCCGCAAACCCTGACCCAGCTTTTTATACTAAAGAGCTGAACTGTAGAAAAGCCATTAGAGAACATGACCTGTCCAATGTTCTCTGATTTTCCAAAAGTTTTTAAAACTAAGATGTTGTAATG